CGCTTTCCTACCGCGCATGCGCTCCACTGGCCTGAAGCTGCGGGTGTAAATCTGTGTACTGTGATGCTCAAACCCTGAACTGCAACAGACGTTAGTTTTCCTGCACTGTCGTGACAAACAGTGAGAACAGAAAGTGGATGGAAGCACTAAATTCACTTTAAACAGAGCCAAACTGTGCATCTGTATATGTGAAGCCCTGCTTACTTCGGAAAACATCCACCTTTCACTGCTCAATCCTGGCTAACTCGTGTCTCAGCGTCGCGGTGATGCTGCGACGTTTTGATTTCCATTTTCTGACATAACGTTATAGCTGAAAAGAAGCCCCGTAAGGTCTGACATAATGTCCAGCTAACGTCAGCTGTTTGTACCAAGCTGATCGTGTAAGAATCATTTCGTTGACGGTTTTTTTGCCTCATTAGCTTTTTAAAGAGGAGTACAAAATTAGCTGGTGTTGCAGAAAAGCTGCTTTACGTTAGCCGTAGCTTTACTGTTAGCAGTAGCTTCTAGTCAGCGTAGCCAGCTTAATTTAAACATCAAAGTCATGCTACATATAAAAGTTCTTCTTTCTTTTGAAAACAGAAATATTACAGAAATCGCTGGTTGTACAAAGACACAGAGACTGCTTGATGTGAAGCAGAACTGCAGTAAAAACAAGGCTATCACACTTATACAGCATCTCAGCTCTGTTTACAGTGAAATCAGAGCTTCTGTCCACTTCTTACTCTCACTGCTCATCACGACAGTGCAGGGAAACTATAATATGTCTGCTGTAGCTCAGTGTTTGGGCATTATAGTTCACTACTGTAATATGGAACGGCCGTGAGTTTTACCCTGCTAACGCTTAAACCGGAAGTAATCGCGACTCTTTTGCGAAAAGGGTCCATTGGGGGGCAGCAGGGGGCGCCACAGCATCACTGCTTAAAGAGTCCACATCACTGATGGTTCAAAATCCCCAAACTTTATTACAGTGAGATTCAAACTTCATCTCCAGACACACCGCAAAACAGACAAAATACCACTGATAATATTTAAACAGCAAACAGTCTCAGAACTAAAGTAGCTTCACAGCCCAAACTGAGTTTAACAGGTTCAGAATTAAACGGTTTATTAGCCTGTTAGCCCTGCGGAGGACAACAGCGCAAACCAGCAGGCATTTCATGCTGGTCTAAGCGGGTTATAGTGCTGGTTTAACTGGTCACGCCAACATGATCATGCTGGTTGACCAACATACCTGCGTCAAAAAATATCGCTCCTGTCGGAACAAAACCTCGTATCTCATTTTTGTCGTTTTTTTAGTTTCTGATGTTATTTGAAGCTCCGTGTTGCTCTTTACATTGTATGTAAATTTCATGATGAATGGACCAAAAGAAATGGCCCAAAATGACTTGGAAAGACGTCTGGTTCCATAGACTTACATTAAAAGTGCAGTATGTTTTGTCCCTCTCCTGTAAAGTTACCATGTTGGAGATACGAGGTTTTGTTCCGACAGCAGCGATATGCTGATTTCGGTGATCAGCACATTAACGTCCATTGCGAGCAGGACTTTAAGGCTGGAGTCTTTCTAACTGTCTGACTTTAGAGAAATAAATTTTAATAACAACATTTTCACCAATATTGGCCTCATAGGAGTTTGGGCTAAAACGCTAATATAAGCGAGCGTATGCTAAGCAGACTGATTAGCATTAATTACACACCCTGATAGAAAAGCCTGCATAGACCAGCATGTGCTGTGTTTTGGATACTGGTATACTGGTCAAAGAGCCTGACCATACACAGCTAAACCAGCACCAGACCAGCATAGACCACTGTAGTCGTGTCGTCATTTTGTAGTTGGCGCCATGTTCATATGAGGAGTTCCTAATATGGGCATAACGAGGACTACAGAATGACGCACAACTACAGTGGTCTATAAACCAGCTCAGACCAGCCTGGACTTCATGTTGGTCAGTGCTGTTTCTAGCAGGTCAGTCTGTTTAAACTGCTTATATGAAGCTGTAAATGGCCAGTTTTAAAAATGACCAGCGTTCCTGAACATCATACAGCTGTTAGGGTGAAATATCGAAGCACGGGAGCTGTGAGGCTAACACTGCTAACCAACACTGGAAGTCAATAGTCACCCAAATCTTTTCTCTAAATGCATTCTCCACATCTTCTCTCAGCTCATTCAGACCGCATCCAGCTCGTCATTAAGGTGGAGCCGATGTCTAGACAGTTACTGTTGTGTCTGTTTGTAAACAATTATTAATGTTTCAATTTTGCGCTGAAGACATTTGTTTATAAATAGAAATAATAGAAACAAAATACTGAAAATAATGTAAAAACCATCAAGTGTTTCTGGTGGTTTTTAGTGTGTTTTGGCTATATATTTATATTTGGTTTGATATCACATGTAAAGGATCCTAATGGTTTAACAGATGTTCTGACGGGATTCCAGCATTAGATGCTTTAATCTGTGTTCTACTGAAAGCTAGTGGTCAAATAAAGGTTCTAACGGTCCTTTTTCAGCAGCATTCGAAGTTTTCTTCATGTTTGCAGCTCAAAAGTCACACTGTGTCCTACAGGTCTGTTCCACCTTAATGAACAGCAGGCTTGAGCAGACTGAGAGAAGATTTGGGTGACTATTGACTTCTACTGTTAGCAGTGTTAGCCTCATAGCTCCACTGCTAAAATGTAGAAGCAAATTTTGGACGCCAAACAAGTTTTCACCAAATCAGGTGTTTAAGCTGAAGTGGTCAGTGATCTCTCCAGCAGGGGGCAGCAGTTCTCTGCGTGTCGTCAGACAGTAATAAATATTCTGTATGTGTGTGTATTTCTGAGAAGACTGTACACTATTTACAACATAAACACCTCAGTGTGTAGAATAATGTGCACCGTCCAGTCCGACTGAGTCCCCACAGCGTCTTTTAAACAGTAAACTCAGTAAACAGCGCTGGTCGCTCGGGTGTAAATATTAGTGGAAAACACAAACACAGTAAATATTCTAAAGGCAGTTATTCTAACTTTCAGTAAACCTGAACAGGCTTGTTTATGGCTTTGATTCTTCAGTTGAACACCAGAGAGAACCCCCCCTCCAATACACCCCGCCACCCCCAGCCGCTCCCCACAGATCTCTGGCCTTCATCTTACCAGAGTTAATGACCATTAAACAGATTAGGAAAAAATCACCCAATAAAATCCCTGTAAAAATGAATTAATGAAACTCTGACCATTAAAATAATGTCTGAACATTTTCTCAACACTGACCACAGACACACGTACACGCACAGACAGGTCAAAGGTCAGTCCACTCTTCAGACCAGAAACACTAATCTGTTTTTCTGTTAGCATCGTCACTGGCAGTGTCAAGAATTTGTCTTCGGCTGACCGCTGTAGGAAAACCGGACGTTCAGTGGTGAGCGTGCTGTTCCCGTACAGGCCAAATGGTGGTTCTTCCTGAGTCTGTCAAACCAGCTTGACTAATGTTCCAAAGTACATTTCACATGTTATGCACATGATCTCAGAATGAAGCGTAAAACACTGTTCCATAGCGCCATCATGAGGCTGATTGGGGGTCTCTCTCCTCATGGGACAAGGAGGGGCACACTGCACCTTTCTACCAAATTTGGTGTTTCTACGAAGCTGGCAGTACATTTAAACATCGAACGATCTAAACATCATGGAACTGCGGTGTTCTAGCTTTATCTCTGGTTCTCTCAGTGCTGACCTGGAGAGGGAGGAGCCGTGTGCTCAGGTGTGCTTACATGTTGCATAGATATACATACACAGATGGCACATCCGCAGCGCCGCCATACTGGGGAGGTCAACATCTCTGCATTCAGTACCATTACAGAGCGGCAGTTTAATAAAGACACTGTCCAAAATTACACTGTTTCAGGAATATCACACTCAGAAAGAGGGACAGGATTATATAACGGCGGGAACGCAGAGATCCACACTCATGTCTGTGTGGTGTTTGTGTAGATATGGTCGTGTGGTTAATGAGGCTCAGTGAACCTGTTAATGTGACTGTTTTTCCTCTGGCTTTATATGAAGCTTATTTCCTTTAATAGTCTGTTCAGGATCTGAACTTTATTAGTATTCATTTATTTATTTATTTACATTGATAGTTAATGCGTTCCTTAATCCGCTTAGATATTCACACCACACTGTTATTAATAAAGGTTCTGTTCAGGTACATGTTTCGTTCATCAAGGTACAAACAGTGTAAATGTTCCCTCAAAGCTCCAACAGTGGTTTTAAGGTCTGATTGTGAACCTTAAATCAGTTTTTCCAGGTGAAAAGTTTGTATTTGTACCTTTTCATAACCGAATGTTTTAAACAGGACAGTAAAATCGTACTTCGTACACAAAGCTAAAATCAGCTTCTTATTCACCAACTTCTTGTTTGAATTTTCCTGTTGCACCTTAAATGGTGCAGCTTCAAGCAACAGAGTGTAACTGCTGCACCGTTTAAGGTGGAACGGGAAAATTTGAACAAGAAACTGGCGAATAGGAAGCGACTTCAGCATCATCCTGCTTACTGAGTTTTGGGGGTTTATTTTATTTTTATGTGTATTAAGATCAGAGGTGATTAACACGTTGATGGATGTGCTGATGTGTGTGTGCTCTGGACAGCTAACCAGCACCATCACCGTTACTATATACAGATAAAACGTACCAAGAGTAGCCTGAGCAACCTAGATTAGCCTGTGTCTGAAGATTATAATAAATGTATAATCTTCTGAAATAATTTGGTGTAAATCGGTTGAGTAATAAGGAAGTTATGGCCGTTTTAATCATGAGACTCCTTACATCTCAGTTCAGTGTGTTTGTTTACTGACCTCTCCAACATGGCGGATGTGCGGATGTATCGCCTCAGATAGAACAACAGACCACACGGCATCTGTATGTTTATATCTATGATATGTTGAACCGCTGAAATGGGGACGGCAGTGTTGACAGGACAGAACAGCACCACCCGCTGCACTGAAGGAGCTCCATCCAGACCTTCAACCCTAAATGTTCTAGAAATCATTTGTGAGCCTTATGAAACTACAAATGATGAGACGAGTCAGTTAAAACTTTCAGAAACCGACCTAAATGTGTGGCAATGGCAAATGTCGGTGTGTTGCAGCAGTAAGACAAGGTTTAATCTTGAAGACGTTCTGCTCGTTTCAGGAGCTTCATGAAGTGTTTTCAAGACTTACTGCAGTTCAGTAATGATGAGAATGATCTGAATGATCTTCACAGCCGGCAGACTGTGGTGGTTCTTTGTGTTTTAAAACAAGATGAGAGTGAATTTCTTTACCTGGGGCATTTATTCATGTTTGGACTTTTTAAAAGCTTTGGTTTTTAAGCATTTGGGATTTTGGGGGGCAGTTAAAGGCCTCTTTCACAGAAGAAATCTCCTGATCCCATTCGTCAGCTGACTGATGGGACAGAGCGACTGCACTGGTGTTGACAAACAGACAAATCATACAGTTGACAACAACAACACACGAACAACAACAGCAATAACAGCGTCAGTGTCATTGGCTGGTCCAGACGGTTCCCTCACATGCTTTAGCTGGTTCCATCTTTGGTTCCTTTGTGGTTCCTCCAGGTTAGCTTATCTGTATGGTGGGTTTAGAAGCCTTTGATGATGCAGTAAGCCTCCAGAGAGGACAGGATGATGTAGAGCAGCCACAGGCTGAAGAACAGGCCGCTGGTCAGCAGCTTGGCGTTTCGCGGCCCACCCAGTTCCCCACCAATCTCTGGCCTGCGCCGATACATCAGCACGGCGATGCAGACGAAGGCGAAGATAGTGAAGACCGTGACGGAGAAGGCCAGCGTTCCAGGTTGAACGCGGAAATACTCCCCGTTCCACTGGTGGAAGATGGCCGCGATGGACCAGGCCACTCCGATCCCCAAAAACACGTTCACCGCGTTACTGCCCGTCACGTTACCAATAGAGGCGTCAGCGTACTGATCCTGAATAGCAGCTACTTTACTGGCAAACGTATCTGGAGAGAGAGAGAGAGAGAGAAAGAAAGAGAGAGAGAGAGAGAGAGAGAGAGAGAGAGAGCAGTCATTGTTTGGGGTGGTTAGTCTGGGTAAGTGTGACTAACAGTTTTAGTTGTAGCCGACCAGCCAAAACCGTTTGGTGTCTGAAGTTGCTTCTTTAGCTTTAGCACCGGAGCTACGAGGCTAATGTAGCTAACTAGTAATAGAAGTTTATATCTCAACAATTAGCATGGTGCTAGCTGCATGTCTAAATCATCTCACAGTTGTTTAAAACTGTGTGAAGTTGTTCAGTATCTCTAATAGACCTGATTGTGTGGTTTCTGACACTGCATGACTCACTGTTATCTATAAACATGGACTGAAGTACATTAGCATAGCTAACACAGTAGCATCTATCAGGAAATCTAAATTTTGCCCTAACTTTCGTCCATAATGATTTAATAAATTTAAATGTATAAAATTGTGTTTGATTGGAAGATTTTTCAAACTATTTCTAAACTGGGGTGTGCCTCAGGGTTAAGCATGTGGGCCTTTCCAGTTTGAATTTGTGGAAAAATCTCTTCACCAGCAGTAGATTCAGTTCAAACAGTACCTTCATCATCGTTATTATTAATATTATTATTATTGTTATTATTATTACCTGGGACAGATGTTCCCAGAGCGACGAACACCACCGCAGTGACCGAGTCCTTCAGGCCGATGGTGCAGCCGAAATGTGAGGCCAGGTCACCGATGACCGCAGTGAGGAGGCCGATCATGAAGATGGAAACGATAAAACATGCCCAGCCGTTCCAGTAATCCGTGGGTGGAACGAAGGCGAACAGAAGCTTCCAGAAAACCGTCAGGAAGTGCATCACATAATCAAAACAGGACGGCAGCTTTTCTTCACCACAGTCCTCATCATCATCATCCCCTGAGGGACGAAAGAGAGAAAGTGGAGATCTGAGCCCGAGGCTGGTTTGATCGGCAGGTTTTGTCTGTAAAATATTATCCTCAACTTTTTTAGACTCTAAAATGCAGACTGTAAACGTGATGATGACTCTGACATCATGTTACTGTCATACTGTCATACTGTCATTATGTTACACTGCCATAGTTTGATAATGTTACACTGTTTGGAATTGTTACACTGTCAGTATGTTGCATTGTTACACTGAGCTGGCACTGATGTTTCTCACTACGGGTGGTATTATTACAGTAGTTCTCTGTCCTGCACTGGTGTCCAGTCATAGCTGGACTGAACGTGGGCCGCTGTTTGTCCTATGAAGATGTTTACCTGAGTTGACTGTGATGGCCTCCACAAACTGCTCTCTCCAGCTGTTGGTTCCTACCAGCAGAGCCAAGTTGGTCTTCTTTATCAGTTTATCGACCGTACTCTGTGGAACACGGTAATGACCGTTAGATCCACTTCAGACGGAATGTAGCAGCAATGACTGAACACACAAACCACCGTTTCAGACTTGCAGGGTGTTTAAACGTCATCTCTGAACTATCGCTTTAAAAGTGTTTTTTTTTTTTTCCAGACACTGGACTGTTTTTCTCACCACCACCATCATCATCATCACCATCTTCATCACCATCAATCATCATCACCATCACCATCATCATTATCACCATCATCATCATCACCATCACCATCATCATTATCACATCATCACCACCACCATCATCATCATCACCATCTTCATCACCATCTTCATCACCATCAATCATCACCATCACCATCATCATCATCACCATCATCATCACCATCAATCATCATCACCATCATCATTATCACCATCATCATCATCATCATCACCATCACCATCACCATCATCATTATCACATCATCACCATCACCATCATCATTATCACATCATCATCATCATCACCATCATCATCATCATCATCACATCATCATCATCACCATCAATCATCATCACCATCAATCATCATCACCATCATCATCATCACCATCATCATCATCATCACCATCATCATTATCACATCATCATCACCATCACCATCATCATCATCACCATCACCATCACCATCATTATCACATCATCATCACCATCATCATCATCACCATCACCATCACCATCATTATCACATCATCATCACCATCACCATCACCATCATCACCATCATCATCACCATAACCATCATCATCACCATCACCTTCATCATCATGAGCTCTCTCTGCTTACTGTCCATCACAGCTCTACAGAAACAGCTGAAGATCTGCTCCACAGTGCTGTGAGTGTTAGTGCTGTCAGTGACTTCATCACAGACTAGAACTCAATTAAACTGCAGAGAGAAAATTACAGAACGTTCCAGAAAGAACTCTCTCTCCTAACGCCGCACAGCAGACCTTACAGAGCTTCTATATACGACATTTCAAACATTAATAGAACAGCAAATAACTATTGTATTACAGAGATAGTGGAGTAATGGCATCCTGCCCTCCCCGAGAGACAAAAGACAGTGACCTCACACAGCACTGCGCATGTGAGATAGTGAAGTGCAGCAGGAGACGTTCAGGTGAAAGTGACTTTGTAAAAATTCCTCCACCGAATCTTCCTCAAAGTTGGCTTCCTATTCGCATTTTTCCGTTCCACCTTATATCGTGCAGCATGTTGAACAGGAAAATTTAAACAACAAGCTGAGGCACCTGAATATAGCCTAACTACTGCACCATTTAAGGTGGAACCGGAAAATTTGAACAAGAAGCTGACGAATAAAGAGCGACTTCAGCTTCATGGAGAGCTGAAAGGCATGAAAAGGGATGAGGAGGCTGCTCTGTTTCTGGGCAACATTAGTTTATTTTTACTGTTTCACAGAACCAGCAGGTCGTTAATGTTTTGTGCAGTTTGCTAATGTCTGTGATCGCTAATCCCAACTGGTTTCACAGCAACAACTGCAGCAACAGTTTGCTAACCCACAGCCTCGCTAACGTTTGCTACATGACTTACTGTGTGGTTGTTCACTTTAATGTTATATCATGATATTTGTCTGTACAACGTTTATGAAGAGTTTTATGGCCGCAAAGATCTAAAAAACTGGTTTGCTAGTCCAGCGTCATTCAGCTTTGTACGTCCATGAATTGCGGAGCTTCTGAAGGAGCACTGAAGGGAGGGTGCGTTTGTTTTGCTGTTGAGTTCAAATATCAACAATCATTCTCCAGAATCGTATAGTGCCCTTACAGTGTTAGTGTGGTTCTGTATGGAAGCTGAGCAAAGGCCTCTACATAAACCAAAGCCAAGTCCTCTGCACATCAGTGGGATGCAGATCTTTTCTGTGGTCTGGATGTAAAGCAGGACCTTCTAGATTCAGTAATATTTAACCTGCTCCTTGTCTCAATCACTAAGCTCTCCCATAAATCTGTCTCTGCTGGTGATGATGTCCAGACGCCCTGTCTGCAGTGAACCGTTCACTGGATCTACTGGAAAAACTCTCAGACAGCAGAGCTAATAGTCCAGGAGGAACCTTCATCCACTCATCATTCTCAATTCACCACAGACCACGTGCATCTCCAGGTTTCTGACCCGTTCTGCCTGGCAGATGAGGACATTAAACCCAGAGTCACTGACCAATGTCAAGACCAACAACCTCAAGAAAAGTGGCAGTAGAGCGAGCCTCGCTGCTTTGTGGTGCATCAGTCCAACATCTGGAGATGTTTCACATCTGCTGTCTTAGGAGACTCTACATATCTCTTGGGCGGATTGTATTCCACATGTTCGCATCTCCTGAAGACAAACACCATCAGAATCTGAGCGACCTTAGCCGAGCGAGGCCTTCACTGGGTGGGGGATTTAGTCTAGACAGCTGACAGTTGTCTGATAAGGTCCTACATGGTCAACTGGTCACTAAAGAGCAATTAAAACACTAAGAAGTGGAGCAACATCAAGCCCAGTGACTTTTAACAGCAGGCTGTGGACAGGAGGACACTGCGGAGCTCCATTAGCTTCTCTGGATCCCACAGCAGCATAGTGGACCTTTAGCATTCCCATAAACGATCCTCACCTGCTCCATCCGGGGCTCCAGAATTGAGCCTCACTGTAGACCCTCAGAGGAACCAACAGCATCTTCAAAAAGAGCTACCTTAAACTCGTAGGACTCCTCGATGACGACCTCCAGTCTGGAGTTCTCTCCCAGTGAGGGGCGTCCCATCTCAGCGATCCTCCTCTCATCCTGCTCCTTCTGAGAGAGAAGGCTGTCATCTAGAGAGAGAGGGAGAGAGAGAGAGAGAGAGAGAATAAAGAGAAAGCTCATGGGTCGATTTTACTCCTCCTACAGCAAATCGCTCACCTGATGGATGAAACGATAGTTCAGATATAAATTACATTCACACACATTTATAGAAACGTAACTGATCAGCTGAGACGTGTTCTGAAGTTCGGTGTCTGAAGTTTGCTCATTTAGTTTTTGCGCTGGAGCTACGAGGCTGAGGTAGCTAAAAAGTAATGGAAGCTTATAGCCACCAATTAGCATGGTGCTACCTTCAACATTACTTGTTAGCTACAGAGCCGTTTAGACTGTTTTGGTGTGAAACGCTCTGTTCTAGATAATCTTACCGAGTCAGAACTGTTCACAGTGGTGGTGATAGGAACCAGACGTCCACCTCTAAAAGCTCCCTCACAGAAAGTTCCTACATGAAATGGTTATGAATTCACTGCCTGATGACTGAGACACTGTTTTATGATAGTTTAGAGAACTTAAACTCCATTTATGGTGGAGGGATACATGCAGGGCGCTGTGAGGCAAAATAGTCCCCAAAGAAAACTGATTATTTCAGATTTTCCACTATTTTCCATCATCAACATTCCATATAAACTCAGAAGACTCGTGTAGGTTCACTGGTGGTTCTGGATAGTAAATAAAATGTCTATATTTGTGTTGTAGTCATGGCGACCCCTGGTTCCTATCACCACCACTGTAAAGACATCTGAACCATTTCACACCAAACCGCTCTGAATCTCTCTGTTTATCTCACACACTGAATTATGGGGGAATTTGGGTGGAATTCCCCTTTAAGTTCATATATAAACAGTGATGTGTGTTGTGGATCTGATAAATAACACTGATACAGTGGATGATGAGGAGCAGTGATGTGGGTGTAAAGAGAAATTAAGTAAATGAGAAAATATATGAAATAAATGAATAAAGGAGTGAAGGGGGGGCGGGGTACCTGCGATGTTGATGATGGCAGAGGGGGCGGGGTTATCTCTGCCCTGAACTTTCCGGTACACATCTCTCCCTGCACACACACACACACACACACACACACACACACACACACATGTACACACACACACACACACACATGTACACACACACACACACACACACACACACACGCTGGCATGTTTCAGGACACGAACACTCCAACAACGAACACAGCTGTGATGTTTATGCTGTACGGCTGTAATTAAAGAGCCCATATCCCACATTTCCTCATGTTCTGTTTTTTCAAAAACAGTCATAATTAATCAAATGATCATTTTCCAGCCTCTCTTTATCTCTTAAAATCAAACAGGCTGTTTCTGTCACTGTACCTTTAAGACAGATGTATGTAAATGGGGTCTGTTTTGAGTAGCTGCCCAGAATTGAATGGGTGGGGCTAAACTGCTGTAGGTTGAGTGGGTGGGGTTAAACTGCTGTAGCTGAATGGTGGGGCTAAACTGCTATAGGCTGAATGGGTGGGGCTAAACTGCTGTAGGCTGAATGGGCGGGGCTAAGCTGCTGTAGGCTGAATGGGCGGGGCTAAAATGCTGTAGACCTGGACTGTATGTACTGAGGAGTTAACTGGGTTTCGACACTGTAACAGTGTTTAATACATCAGACTGTTTTGATGAAACGAACTGAAGTTTTCACTGATATGGGTTCTTTAACTGTGAGCTGAAACGTTCCGTAGTGAACACACACAAACAGGTCAGTAGCATGAAAGGAGTGTGTTAGATGACAGTGGTGTCCAGCAGAGGTCACTCCAATGTATAGTACCCTGGAATCATAGAACCCTGGGAGCAGAAACCCATGGGAGCATAGAACCCTGGGATATAGGGATGACCCCAGCTGGGGGTGAAAGGGCAGCTGGGTAAACTGCACTGTTGTTTGATGTGTTAGGTGTAAGTTCGGTCAGTGAGATGAAGCAGTGCAGTGTGAGCAGATCTGCAGTCGCCGTGTAAACAGAGGATTCTGGGTAATTAAACTGAGAGAGTCCAGATCTGCAGAGACGCTCCTCACACTGACCTACAGGACAGTCACTGCAGACCCACTGCTGCATGTGGACTGAAACATCTCTGCATGTCTATGTCACGCAGTGTCCAGCGTGTGTCCAGCATGTGTCCAGCGTGTGTCCAGCGTGCGTAAAGCCGAGCGGGGGCGGTGGTGGTCAGTCTGCTGCAGTGCAGTTACTGAATCACACACTGTTAAATTTAGCTTTCAGCTCAGTGAAAACCCAAATTTGATTTCTTACCAAAGAGCTGTTTATCTATCAAAGAGCAACACAGACAACGTCAGAGCTACACCGGGAACTAGCCGGTTAGCGAAGCCAGTTAGCTTCAGTGCTAATGAGCTGTTTTAGCATTTCCTGTAAAATGGACCATACCTGTCTTCACGAATCCACCTACAACCATAAAACACCAAAAATTAATTACAGTGTCATCACTGCACCGTCTGACCACGCTAACGAAGCAGGCAGTTAGTGTTTCTAATAAAGCAGCCAGTTAGTGGAAGCGCACGGTAGGTGTTTCTGATAAAGTGGCCAGTTAGTGGAAGCACAAGGTAGGTGTTTCTAATAAAGTGGCCAGTTAATGGAAGTACAAGATGGATGTTTCTAATAAAGTGGCCAGTTAGTGGAAGCACAAGGTAGGTGTTTCTAATAAAGTGGCCAGTGAGTGGAAGCACAAGGTGGGTGTTTCTAATAAAGTGGCCAGTTAGTGGAAGCACAAGGTAGGTGTTTCTAATAAAGTGGCCAGTTTGTGGAAGTACAAGGTAGGTGTTTCTCATAAAGTGGCCAGTGAGTGGAAGCACAAGGTGTGAGTTTCAAATAAAGTGGCCAGTTTGTGGAAGCACAAGGTAGGTGTCTCTAATAAAGTGGCCAGTGAGTGGACAACATTTCAGTGAGAGGATGATCACACAGAGCAGCTGTTGAGGCTGAGTGGTGGCCGAGTAAAGACTTACCACACTCATGCAGCAACACAGCTGACCCAGACAACACGACAGACAGGCAGAAGATGAAGAAAAGAAAGAAAAAACAGAAGAAGGGAAATATATGAATAAATAAAGCTCAGCCTGGCAGACAGCAGGTGTGTGTGTGTGTGTGTGTGTGTGTGTGTGTGTGTGTGCGCAGGTGTTGAGGACAGACTTTATTCAGCAGGTCTGAGGCTCCTGCAGATCTATTGTGGCCTTCAGCTCCAGGTGACAATAATAAAGAGGACTTAAGTTTTTATCTCTGTTTGTATCTTTAATCCAATCATGGAGGTATCAGGTCATCTGAGCTCAGAAGCTGGCTGTGTGTTTGTTTATGACATCAGCAGAAAAGAGTTGTGACACTGAACCATGACTGTGTTTCTCTCCCGTTTATAATGAAAATGAATTATTATGATTTGTAGTGAGGAGAACTGTCCACTTAATAATGCCCTTTAGATTGCTCTGACACTAGAGGGCGCTCAATAGACAGTCCTCAATGACTGGGCTTTTGTGCAAACCAATCAGCTCTCAGTAGCAGTAATGTTAACCAATCAGCTCTTAGTAGCAGTAATGTTAACCAATCAGCTCTCAGTAGCAGTAATGCTAACCAATCAGCGCTCAGTAGCAGTAACGCTAACCAATCAGTGCTCAGTAGCAGTAACGCTAACCAATCAGCTCTCAGTAACAGTAACGCTAACCAATCAGCTCTCAGTAGCAGTAACGCTAACCAATCAGCTCTCAGTAGCAGTAACGCTAACCAATCAGCGCTCAGTAGCAGTAATGCTAACCAATCAGAGCTCAGTAGCAGTAATGCTAACCAATCAGCTCTTAGTAGCATTAATGTTAACCAATCAGCTCTCAGTTGCAGTAATGCTAACCAATCAGCTCTTAGTAGCAGTAATGTTAACCAATCAGCTCTTAGTAGCAGTAATGCTAACCAATCAGAGCTCAGAAGCAGTAATGCTAACCAATCAGCTCTCAGTAGCAGTAACGCTAACCAATCAGCTCTTAGTAGCAGTAATGCTAACCAATCAGAGCTCAGAAGCAGTAATGTTAACCAATCAGCTCTCAGTAGCAGTAACGCTAACCAATCAGCTCTTAGTAGCAGTAACGCTAACCAATCAGCTCTCAGTAGCAGTAATGCTAACCAATCAGTAAGCTAACCAATCAGCTCTTAGTAGCAGTAATGTTAACCAATCAGAGCTCAGAAGCAGTAATGTTAACCAATCAGCTCTTAGTAGCAGTAATGTTAACCAATCAGCTCTCAGTAGCAGTAACGCTAACCAATCAGCTCTCAGTAGCAGTAACGCTAACCAATCAGCTCTCAGTAGCAGTAACGTTAACCAATCAGCGCTCAGTAGCAGTAACGTTAACCAATCAGCACTCAGTAGCAGTAACGCTAACCAATCAGCGCTCAGTAGCAGTAATGTTAACCAATCAGAGCTCAGTAGCAGTAACGCTAACTAATCAACGCTCAGTAGCAGTAACGCTAATCAATCAGCTCTCAGTAGCAGTAACGTTAACCAATCAGCACTCAGTAGCAGTAACGCTACTCAATCAGCTCTTAGTAGCAGTAACGCTAACCAATCAGAGCTCAGTAGCAGTAACATTAACCCATCAGCTCTCAGTAGCAGTAACGCTAACTAATCAACGCTCAGTAGCAGTAACGCTAATCAATCAGCTCTTAGTAGCAGTAATGTTAACCAATCAGAGCTCAGAAGCAGTAATGCTAACCAATCAGCTCTCAGTAGCAGTAATGCTAACCAATCAGCGCTCAGTAGCAGTAACGCTAACCAATCAGCGCTCAGTAGCAGTAACGTTAACCAATCAGAGCTCAGTAGCAGTAACGCTAACCAATCAGAGCTCAGTCGCAGTAACGCTAACCAATCAGCGCTCAGTACCAGTAACGCTAACTAATCAACGCTCAGTAGCAGTAATGCTAACCAATCAGCTCTCAGTAGCAGTAACGCTAACCAATCAGCTCTCAGTAGCAGTAATGCTAACCAATCAGCTCTTAGTAGCAGTAATGCTAACCAATCAGAGCTCAGAAGCAGTAATGCTAACCAATCAGCTCTCAGTAGCAGTAACGCTAACCAATCAGCTCTTAGTAGCAGTAACGCTAACCAATCAGCTCTCAGTAGCAGTAATGCTAACCAATCAGCTCTCAGTAGCAGTAATGCTAACCAATCAGCTCTTAGTAGCAGTAATGTTAACCAATCAGAGCTCAGAAGCAGTAATGTTAACCAATCAGCTCTTAGTAGCAGTGATGTTAACCAATCAGCTCTCAGTAGCAGTAACGCTACTCAATCAGCTCTCAGTAGCAGTAACGCTAACCAATCAGCTCTCAGTAGCAGTAACGTTAACCAATCAGCGCTCAGTAGCAGTAACGTTAACCAATCAGCGCTCAGTAGCAGTAACGCTAACCAATCAGCGCTCAGTAGCAGTAATGTTAACCAATCAGAGCTCAGTAGCAGTAACGCTAACTAATCAACGCTCAGTAGCAGTAACGCTAATCAATCAGCTCTCAGTAGCAGTAACGTTAACCAATCAGCACTCAGTAGCAGTAATGTTAACCAATCAGAGCTCAGTAGCAGTAACGCTAACTAATCAACGCTCAGTAGCAGTAACGCTAATCAATCAGCTCTCAGTAGCAGTAACGCTAACCAATCAGCGCTCAGTAGCAGTAATGTTAACCAATCAGAGCTCAGTAGCAGTAACGCTAACTAATCAACGCTCAGTAGCAGTAACGCTAACTAATCAACGCTCAGTAGCAGTAACGCTAACCAATCAGCACTCAGTAGCAGTAACGCTACTCAATCAGCTCTTAGTAGCAGTAACGCTAACCAATCAGCGCTCAGTAGCAGTAACGCTAACCAATCAGCGCTCAGTAGCAGTAACGTTAAGCAATCAGCGCTCAGTAGCAGTAACATTAACCCATCAGCTCTCAGTAGCAGTAACGCTAACTAATCAACGCTCAGTAGCAGTAACGCTAATCAATCAGCTCTTAGTAGCAGTAATGTTAACCAATCAGAGCTCAGAAGCAGTAATGCTAACCAATCAGCTCTCAGTAGCAGTAATGCTAACCAATCAGCGCTCAGTAGCAGTAACGCTAACCAATCAGCGCTCAGTAGCAGTAACGTTAACCAATCAGAGCTCAGTAGCAGTAACGCTAACCAATCAGAGCTCAGTCGCAGTAACGCTAACCAATCAGCGCTCAGTACCAGTAACGCTAACTAATCAACGCTCAGTAGCAGTAATGCTAACCAATCAGCTCTCAGTAGCAGTAACGCTAACCAATCAGAGCGCAGTAGCAGTAACGTTAACCAATCAGCATTCAATAGCAGTAATTGTAACCAATCAGAGCGCAGTAGCAGTAACACTAACCAATCAGAGCGCAGTAGCAGTAACGCTAACCAATCAGCGCTCAGTAGCAGTAATGTTAACCAATCAGCTCTCAGTAGCAGTAACGCTAACCAATCAGAGCTCAGTAGCAGTAACGCTAACTAATCAGCGCTCAGTAGCAGTAATGTTAACCAATCAGAGCGCAGTAGCAGTAACGCTAACCAATCAGCGCTCAGTAGCAGTAATGTTAACCAATCAGAGCGCAGTAGCAGTAACGCTAACCAATCAGCGCTCAGTAGCAGTAATGTTAACCAATCAGAGCGCAGTAGCAGTAACGCTAACCAATCAGCGCTCAGTAGCAGTAATGTTAACCAATCAGAGCGCAGTAGCAGTAACGCTAACCAATCAGAGCTCAGTAGCAGTAGAAAAATATTCATTTTAACCATTTTCATTCACTCCCATTCCCTGAAGACTCTCTCTGTCGCCCTCTAGTGTTTTCCAGTCATGTCTCTGGTGTGAGTGCAGCACAGCTGACAGAAGATGAGGCTGACAGAGGAGCTGAGTGAGGAAGAGGAGGAGTCCAGGAGGAAGAGCACGCTGAGGCAGAAGGAAGCTGCAGGAGGAAAAGGAAGAGTTGTCTTTTCTGCTCTGTCACCTGTCCATCCTCTCCTCCTCCACTCCGGCTCGTCCAGCTGCAGGTAGAAGTTTGCCTGCTTGTCGTACTCGTCATGGTCAACAATTCTAACCTTTATGGTCTTCCTGTGGGGTTTGGGGGGGGTGGGGTGAGGGTGGGAGACAGAGGAACACCTGAGCATCCTAACTCTCGCACTGTTCTGGTCACTGTCTGATTGATTAAATTTACCCCTCAAACGTAGTCAGTTTGCTTCTTAGTATTGGAGCTACAAGGCTAATGTGGCTAACAAGCAATGAAAGCTTACAGCTGATCAATTAGCGTGGCGCTAACTGCATACCTAAACCGCACACTTGTCTGGAACGTGTTGGTGAAGTAGGCGTCCCACTCGCCAGCTTCTATTTCCAACACCGTTCCACCTTAAATGGTGCCTCAGGCGCCAGAATGTAATTGCTGCACCGTTTAAGGTGGAACGGTGTTTGAATTAGAAGCTGGTGAACATGACGCCAAATTTAGCCAAATCTCTTGATTATGTGGACTCTGACACTGTGTAACTTGCTGGCTACATTAGCCTTGTAGCTCAGAGCTACACACCAAACATGACTTGGCTGGTCGACCACACTTCCTGAAAGGGGCGGAGTGTATAAATCAGATTTTTCGTTAAACTACGGCTTTAACTAAAGGTCATTTGGTCAGTGGTCTTCACAGTGCAAAGCTCAGAGTGACCACAGTGGTCTTCTGGATTTAGAGCCGGTGCCACTGAAGAGAAGTCGGTCCAGCAGGTGGCACCAGGCCAGAGGTTAACAACAGGGGGGTTGGGGAGGGGGGGTTCGGAGCCCACCTTTCCTCTCACTCATCTCCACCAATCGCGGCTCTCCGATCTCCATGAAGAAGTTCTTGTTCTTTTCGTACTCCTCATCATCAATAATATTGATCTGAATGGTTTTGCTGAAAAAGAGAGAGACAGACAGAGGGAGAGAGAGACAGACAGACAGACACAGGGAGAGAGAGACAGACAGACAGACAGACAGAGAGAGAGAGAGTTGCAGAGATGAGAGAGGCGTGAGGAAATAACAGCTTCAACGGTGGGAAGGAAAACAGCCAGCAGGAAGACACTGACAACTCAATACATGTGCAATGATTCAGGCATGCAGTTAGCACCATGCTAACAATGCTATGATGGGATATAAGCTTCAGTTCCTTTAGCTAGATTAGCTGCATAGCTCCAGTGCTAAAGCTAAAGAAACTTGAGGATAAGCGTATCAGGTCTGAGGGATCCTCATTGATTCATTTCAGATTAGAATGCTACAGTTAGCCTCACTTACTGAACATTACTTGGACATGGCTCCGAAAACACTGATCCCACTTTGATCCCACATGGATCCCACACTGAACACACACTGATCCCACTATGATCTCACTTTGATCACACACTGATTCCACTTAGACCCCACACTAATCCCACTTTGACCCTACATTAATCCCACTTTGATCCCACACTGATCTCACACTGATCCCACACTGATAACACATTAAGTCCATACTGATCACACACTGATCCCACTTTGCCCCCACATTGACCCAATTCTGATCCCACCTTGATCCCACTTTGATCCCACACTGATGCAACTTTGATTGCATACTGATTTCACACTGATCCCACTTTGATCTCACTTTGATCCCACACTGATCCCACTTTGACCCCACACTGACCCCACAGTGGGCTGTCTGGGCTCTGCAGGTGATGCCGATGCTGTGTGGGGCTATGCTGTGGTGCTGATGATGGATGGGGCTCTGAGAGTGATGGAGATGCCTGGCGGTGTTATGATACAGTAATGACGTGGGTGGGCGGGGCTATGCTGTGGTGCTGATGAGAGCGATGTGTGTATGTAGTGTGTTTAGGTCTGATGAGTAACGGTTCGGAGGTGGAGCAGTCGTTCCATCTCCAGCGTGTGTTTGGCAGTAGACATTCCAGGAAAATATGCGGAATGCAAACAGGGAAGCTCTTTATAAACCATCACCGAGTCCACTTCACACAGCATTTCATCACCATGGCAACAATACAGGCTAAACTAAACAAACCAAGAGCAGCATCACATTAAACCATCATACGTTCTTTAACAAGCAACTGTCAGTCTCCTACAGTCTCTCTCTCCGTGTCTCTCTCTCTCTCTGTGTCTCTCTCTCTCTCTGTGTCTCTCTCTCTTTCTCTCTCTCCCTCTGCTGATGTAATGCTCTGTTTATCTCCTGTGAAGGTTTAAAGGTCAGTGAATAAACACAGCAGGCCGTCCTCTCGTCTCTGGTGAGGTGCTGCTGGATGTTTCTGGACGTTACTGTTGTATAAGAGTTTTAGCGGAGCTCTGATTGAGGATCTGAACTGTAGGTGAGGGATTTGTCAGGTGATCATGTGACCCTGCCGTCCTGCAGATGTTCCTCAGCACAGATGGCCGATTTCTAAACTTTCCTAATCCTCCGCTTTCACTCTCAAACGCAGCCTAATCTGGACTGTGAGCAGCTTAAACAGCTCAGAATATTATTCACAGCCAGCAACACCGACAGCTCAGCCAGACCAATCAGAGCTCTCAGACCATTCAGCATTCAGCCTGACGGGGAGGCACATCACTGGAACCACCGATCAAAAAGTCTGCAATGTTTTCAATAAAATTAAAACAATCTTTCAGATAAATATGTAAACGAGTAAAATCTGCTCATCCTAAAGAGCTTCACAGCTTTTAGATCATCAGCAGGTCCATGAAGAACCATTAGAGGAGTCCAGAATGAGGATCAGAGCCGTACAAAGTTCTACAATGACTGAGAAACATGAAGAACATCCAGAATGAATTTCTAATAAAATTAACGTTTCTCTCTCTCTCTCTCTCTCTCTCTCTCTCTCTCTCTCTCTCTCTCTCCCTGTGAGGCTGTGAGATCATTACAGGTCATGGATGTCCAGCTTTCACTTGTGCAGAGTGTTTAATTACCCAGAGGTCACTCCTGCCGCTCACTCAGTGATGGGAGTGTTCAGAGGGATGTTATTTTAAAGCTATCTCGACCGTCTGCAGCGCCGCCTCGTTACGCTCATTTACTCTACACTGAAGACACTAATGTGGTCACCACTGATGACCAGCTTTCCATACGGTATAATTTATGATAATCTGTAAAATGTTACTTGATACTGACAGTCTGCTTTTATGAATAGTCCATGTGTTTTTCTTAAGATCCTTAGTAAGTTTTTAGGAAAGCCTCCGTGAACGAGACCCTCCAGGCTCTGCTGGACAATGCAGAGCAACGCGTGTCACCGCAGCAGCTCAGAGTGAACACTGTGATGTGTGAACAGCCCTCCACATCCGACTGACTGTCCAGTAAATGAGCAGCGTCCAGAAATCAGGGCCTATTCTTATCTCTTCCCGGATCTGTGGGAGTCTGTGTTCTTTTCTGAGAGTTTAAATGTGATCAGTAGTGCCGTCTGCTCGCCGTGAGGGGACACTGACAGAAGAGCAGCCTGATAATTACTGTACACACATCAGCTCACAGTCACACAGCACTGAGCACAGAGTACAGTACAGTACAGTACAGCACAGTACAGTACAGAACAGTACAGCACAGTACAGCACAGTACAGTACAGTACAGAACAGCACAGTACAGCACAGTACAGAACAGCACAGTACAGCACAGTACAGTACAGTACAGTACAGCACAGTACAGCACAGTACAGAACAGCACAGTACAGCACAGTACAGTACAGTACAGCACAGTACAGTACAGTACAGCACAGTACAGTACAGAACAGCACAGTACAGCACAGTACAGTACAGCACAGTACAGAACAGCACAGTACAGTACAGTACAGTACAGCACAGCACAGTACAGTACAGAACAGAACAGTACAGTACAGTACAGCACAGTACAGCACAGAACAGTACAGTACAGAACAGTACAGCACAGTACAGAACAGTACAGTACAGTACAGCACAGTACAGAAAAGAACAGTACAGTACAGTACAGCACAGCACAGTACAGAACAGTACAGTACAGTACAGTACAGCATAGTACAGAACAGTACAGTACAGCACAGAATAGTACAGTACAGCACAGCACAGAACAGTACAGTACAGTACAGTACAGCACAGTACAGAAAAGAACAGTACAGTACAGTACAGAACAGAACAGTACAGTACAGCACAGTACAGTACAGTACAGTACAGTACAGCGCAGCACAGTACAGAACAGAACAGTACAGTACAGTACAGTACAGCGCAGCACAGTACAGAACAGCACAGTACAGTACAGCGCAGCACAGTACAGCGCAGCACAGTACAGAACAGTACAGTACAGAACAGAACAGAACAGTACAGTACAGCACAGTACAGAACAGTACAGTACAGTACAGCGCAGCACAGTACAGAACAGCACAGTACAGTACAGCACAGAACAGTACAGAACACCACAGTACAGAACAGAACAGTACAGTACAGTACAGCACAGTACAGAACAGAACAGAACAGTACAGTACAGCACAGCACAGACCAGCACAGTACAGTACAGTACAGCGTAGTACAGAACAGCACAGTACAGCACAGCACAGAACAGCACAGTACAGTACAGTACAGCACAGAACACCACAGTACAGAACGGTACAGTACAGCACAGTACAGTACAGGACAGTACAGTACAGCACAGCACAATACAGTACCATACAGTACAGTACAGCGTAGTACAGAACAGTACAGTACCGTACAGTACAGTACAGCACAGTACAGAACAGCACAGAACACCACAGTATAGTACCGTACAGTATTATACAGCACAGCACAGTACAGAACAGCACAGAACACCACAGTACAGCACAGTACAGTACAGCACAGCAAAAAATTAAGAATACCATTTCTCAACATAAAATAGTAAAGAACTTGGGGATTTCTTTATCTACGGTACGTAATATCATTAAAAGAAGAAATCTCTCTGAAGAAATCTCTGTACGCAGGGGACAAAGCCAAAAACCAATACTGGCTGGCCGTGATCTTCAGTCCCTCAGGAAGCACTGCATTAAAAACGGACATGATTCTGTAGTGGAAATCACTGCATGGGCTCAGAAACACTTCTGAAAAAAAACTGTCTGTGAGAACAGTTTGTCGCTGTATTCACAAATGCAAGTTAAAACTCTAAAATGCAAAGAAGAAACCAAATATAAAGAGAATCCAGAAATGCTGCCACCTTCTCTGGGCCTGAGCTAATTTAAAATGGACTGAGGGGAAGTGGAAAAGTGTCCTGTCAAAGTTTGAAATTCTTTTTGGAAATCATGGACACTGTGTCCCCTGAGCTAAAAAGGAGAGGGACCATCCAGCTTGTTGTCAGCACACAATTTAAAAGCCAGTATTCATGATGGTGTAGGGGGGCATTAGTGCACATGGCATGGGTGACGTGCACATCTGTAAAGGCACCATTAATGCTGAACAATAGATACATATACATATATGCATACATATGCTGCCATCCAGACAACGTCTTTTTCAGGGAAGGCCTTGATTATTTCAGCAAGACGATGACAAACCACATTCTGCATGTATTACAGCAGCACTGCTCCACATTAAAAGAGTCCAGGTGCTAAACTGACCTGCCTGCAGTCCAGACCTGTCACCACTGATAACATTTAGTGCATTATGAAACAAAAAACACAACAAATGAGCCCCTGAACTGAGGAGCAGCTGAAATCCTTTATCAAACAAGAACAGGAAAACATTTCACTTTCTAACTACAGCAGTGTCTCCTCAGTTCCCAAACACTTACAGAGTGTAGTTAAAGAAGAGGTGATGAAACTCAGTGGTAAACAGGCCCCCGTCCAACTTTTTTGGAACGTGTTTTTGGCACCAAATTCAAAATGGGCCTTTATTGTTCCAAAAACAATACAATTTCTCAGTTTCAACATTTAATATGTTGTCTTAGTAGTATT